GTAGTGCTGCAACAGGCAGCAAAAACGCATAAAAATTTCCACCTTGCTCTGGGTTTGGTACATCCAGATAACTCAATCCGGATGTAAGAAGCCCCTCCGTCTGTGGAAGCTGGAAGTTATAGTCAGTTGTTAGTATATTGAATAGTAGCACATTATCGCCTTTTCGAGAGTTGCTTAAAAACATTCTGTTAGTAATTTTGGTTCCATGACATACAGTCTTCGTACTGACGAGGTCCAGTTGTGGTAACTGTAAGAAATGTGTAAGAGTTAATGGGCTGGAACATTTTTTATCAATTTATAAAATTACTAATATTTTTCCTCCTTTCTTCTTTTGTGTTTGTACATTATTTTCTCTTTTAAGTACACCAGTAGCTTTCTACCATCAATAGGGATTAACGAATTGCAAAGAATTTTTCCCCTGACGGAACCAGGCCACCCATTTTCACACCAGGAGCAGCATATCTTACCATATATCGAACTGCGTCAACACATTTCCTTGTAGAAGTGTATTAGACGTAAATTAGTCGTTTCTGTTTTCCTAACAATCTTAATAGCATTTTGACTTATCATCAGCGAGGTAAAACCAACCAAAATCCGAAAAAAATCATACTTGCAACACGCCAAACTCGATTCTTGAGGCCTTTTGAAATTGTGATAATATAAATTTTGTTCTGTTTGTTTCCGGCTGCCTGTCTGCCATAATTTAAACATTTTTCTTCCAATGTATGCCATTTGAGGTGGCGTTCATCCGATTGAACGCGTTGAATTCGCAATCGATGCGATCGGGCCAGCCACTTCATCTCAGATGATCACCGCTGAGCTCCTGTGCATCATGGTTGAGGCAGCACGCCAGTTGGACTGCATATCGTCGCAAAAATGGGAAATCCGAATTGGCCATCGAAATCTTATCGTTGCTGCTGCTCGATATATGGGCTTTGGTGATTTGAACAGCCAGAATAAGATTTTGAATGTCCTCTATGCTATTTCGACATCAAACAGTTAGTTCCAACCATTACTTCTGCCGATAAAGTCGAGTAATCTACTTCTTTAATTGTGCTGCCTGAGTTGCTTACTCCGATTTCCTCAAATATTCGTGAATTGCCACTTCAGGCTTGTTTTACTTCGTTCATATTTATTAATCTTTCCTTCCGTCTCTCTTTTCTATTTCTATTTTACCCATCCTGAGCTTATCTTTGTTCCATTTTCGGCGCTAGGGCCAGTGGATTTCGGGATATTTAGACTTTGGGTGATGTTTTCTCTAAATTACTGTACTTCCTAATACCCTTGTATTGAAGCCTCATGCGTGCTTGGTGCCTGCGGAGGTGATATCCATCGGTCTTTCATTTCATTATTCCATACGTTAAATCCCGTACCCTAAACTTGCCTGCTGCGAGTTTATTCAAAATTTGCATGGAATCTGCGATCTTTTTCACATGAAAAAATTATGGCACCAATTTTGGTGCCTTCTTTTGATTGTAAGGTATGACAAGGGGGTGTTGCAGAGATGCTTCGACGTGAACAAAGAATCGAGCGGCTTCGTGTTGGCACAGAGATGTCGTTCAATCAGGCCAATTCGTTGTTGAATGTTCTCGAAGGCGATGAATATTCGCTGGAAGCGTTGATTGCTAGAACGCAGTGCTTAATGAACTGTCGTGATGATAGTGTCCGAGAATTGGTACAGTCAGCCATAGATGTTCTCACCAATGTTTCTCTCTTATTGGAATCTTTCGTCGGCGCAGGTTCTTATTTCAAGAATTTTGTTTTTTAAGAATTTTGTTCTGTTAGAATTTCAGGTGAGAATTCTAACAAATGCTACTGGGAAAATGCAAGAAAGAAACTGCTATAATAGGTATGATACATGTCCTACGTTCAACTTATGTCGAACTGAGCCAACAATGGCATCGGTTATGTTCGCCCTTTTTTTTGGCAAAAATCTGGCCTGGATGATTGCGTCGAAGCAGAATAACTTTAGTTCATTCGATTCAAAAAAATTACAGCTTAGGAGATGGTTATTATGAATAAAATAAGTTA